GACCAACCCTTAGGTCTTTATCAAGGTACATGAAAAAACTCGTATGAAGTGGGCACACATAACCACTGTAGTGGGAGGAGTTTAAATGAGGGTAATTAAAGATTGCAAAAAGCCAGCTAGTTTGTAATGAGAAGCAGAGGTGTATCCAGGATTTTTTCTGGGTGGGTCGTGATCATAATTTTTGTACCTTTCAGAGGAAGACAGGAAAATCGATTACAGCGCCACCAGCTTAAAGCGGATGGGAGGCTCATTTAATTGCTGGAATTGAGATACACTCATGAGAAGGGAGATTTATAGTCGTTCCCACAGTATGTTGGCTGTATAATAAACAAATAGTATATTAACCAAATCAGAAAAAAAAACCAAACAAAACAACAGAAAATTGTGAAACAAGTATAAAATATGTAATATAATGTAAGTTTAAATATGTCTGAAGCCCAGCACATTTGAGGAATATGAGGTTGTATTGAGTCGATTTTGACTATCTAGCATGGTAGTTTTCAGTAACAAGTAATAATAAATAAATCTTTTAAAAGAAATTTTAATATACAGGGTACCTGCAATATTCATCTATGAAATGTGTCATTTAAAATTAATAATAATTCATCTACTCACAGCTGTGGGTTTTAGTGCCTCTTCCACGAACATCTCAAACATAATCTTTGACAACATGCAAAGACTCATAAATGTATACCATTTCAAAAGAGAAATTTCGCTATTAGAAAACATGAAGTTTCTCAGCAACATCGAGGAAAAAGAAAAATCATATCCAAAATCAAGTCAAACAACAAATTTATGAATAGCAGTCTCCTAGGGTGTTTTTGGTAGGAAAAGAAGGCCCAAACACTGAATGTATTTTTTTCTTTCTTTCTTTTTTTTTTTTTTGCAAAAAATAAGGGGTGGGGGACGTACTCCCCTTACGTTTCCCCCCCCCCCCAAAAAAAAACTTCCGCCACTGGAAATAGGCCTAGGCCCTTGGTTTAGGTAGGCCTACTTTGTTCCATTTCAATTAGAAACAACAGGATTATACAATTTCATACAGTATATCTTGTAAATTACTGTACACAATGATGATTAAACCAGGTAAGTACTTGAAAACAATATGGAAGTAAAACTTACACGTCAAAAGTGTCAAATGTTGTCTACACAAAAACTGTACTTTATTAAAAGAGTAAGTCTACTGAAGGGGTGTCATGTGCACACATATCAGTGTGTACTGTGGTCACTGTACATGGGGTTGTCTGACAGTACATACCTGCTGACCTCGATAGAGAGTGATTGATTGCACGAAAGTTTCTGTGCTGGTGCATCTGCGTTTAAACTTTCTTTGTAGAAGCTATACATTGCGCGATGTGACATAGAATCAACCTTTCTATGGAATTGAGTATCCATTCAATTATCTAAAAAAAAATGATAAAAAAGGGGAGGGGGTCGCAGGCTCTCCCCTAAATCTTCCCCTGGGTCATGCATATTAATGAACAGTGGGGAAAATATTACAAGTAGATTATAACAGCAGTTGAAAGGAGGTGGAATGTTAGGAATTGTAATCTCGCTGTCCGTAATGAGTGAAGTGCAAAAATATACAACAAGATTTATTAAATTTAAGGTTACTGTGGTTAGGGTTATTATCATTAATATTAGCTCTAGAAAGAATAGATTTAAGGTTGCTGGGTTGGCGATTGGCAAGGAGGTCGAGGGGGGCTGTCGAATACGGTGTTAGTGGATTCGTAGGCCCACTGTACGGAGAAATCTTTCTTAATGGTGTTAGTGAGAACGGACATTTGGGAGGATGAAAGTCAAAACTAAAAAGGAATTCGATCACTGGTAGATTTTGGTCTGGGGATGAGAAGGTCTTGGCGGGATCGTTTGTTATAGCTTTGGCTATTTGGGACTGGATGAGGGGGATAGGGTAACCGCTGTCAATACAATATCTAATTAGTTGACCTACATTGGCGGTGTATTCAGCTTCTAAACAGCGTTTAAGGCGAAGGCATTGACTATAAATATAGATTTTTGTTGAGACTTACTAGGGTATGATGAGAGCTTTAGAAATTAAGGTATGAGTGATTTTCAGTAGTTTAGAGTAGACTGAAGTCTTTTTTGATAGAGGAGGGGGCAGCAGTTCCCCCGCCACTGGACAGGTCAAACCCCCATCGGACAGAGCTCATCGGGCAGTCGGAAAAAATATATAAAAATAGGCCCACGCCAAGCCAACACATGCCTGTCACAGTCTGAGAATGTCATTTCTGGCCATCCAGAGGTGGTTCCTCTCCTTTAAAAAACCTCTTTCAAGGGGAGGGAGAACACCCTCTAAAACCCTTCCTCCAGCTTGGGCCTACGAGCTCAAGTCCTCCTGTCGGACAGCTCAGCCCCCCTCCCCCCCCCCAAGAAAATATACCGTTGAGACGCCACTGATGCGAGGATGGAATGTTAGCTTCAAAAAGTAAGATTGTCAAGCCCATGATTCCAGACAAACAAAATATCGTCAATGTAACGATGATAATGAGCGGTAGTGGGGGGGGGGGGTCTTTTTGTAAAGAAAAAACAAGAAAAAAAAAAAGAAAGAAAAAAAAATTGATCGCCCAAACCTCCATAAACTGTTTATTACTTAAAATGCTTAAAAGATAAAATCGTTTAAAATTCCTTACAGTACAGTACTGGGAAATATATAGTCGAAGCAACAGCCTAATGTGAATTAATGGGCTTACATGAATCGTGATTTAAAAAATACATCAAATATTTTGTCAAATCACGATACAAAATTAAGAACTCAATTGTGCCAAAATAGACATTAAAATACATCCCAAAACGCTACAAACAACCGATTGGCTGCGGGCCAGATCCCCTTCACGGCCCCCTGGCCCCGGCGCCTGGCTCGGGCCTTCATCCCCCTTCGTTACGCCAATGATCCCGCATTTACAATTTTCCCACCCCCAGATGGGAACCACCCTACGTCCCTGTTATCATAATAGCTGATATTCAGCAAATGAGTTGCTAAGAAACGAAATCGACAACTCTACTGAAATTATTGTTAATCATCATGTTGCATGGAGTATGATGTATGTTGGCCCTTTTTAAGTATCATAGCATGTTTCAAAGTTAATGACAAATTTCAGGGGGATAAATTATTTTGACCTTAATAATAATTACTCGAATATCTACCGCATATCATTATCATTGTTTACCAACTTCCTCTCCCACAAGACATTTCATGATTATACTGTTCTCCGCGACTACGTCTGACCTTCGAACATCCTGTGAATGATCCATTCTCAATTGCAGGGAGATATCCTAATAGAAAAATATGTTTTTTGATCTATGTCAAAACAAAAATTAATTAACTAACATATTTCGATTTGTCTTAACTTAGATTATTAATGATTGCAATAAATAATAGGATTAGTCTTATTTTTGTATCATAATTTGAATTTTAGAATTACGGATGTGTGTTTTGCTGTCTTTGTGTTTAAAATGGACGATTCCAATATTTGACAGTTTTTGTGCTTGAAACTTAAGAATTCACAGTCAGTGATGTACATTAGACTTGTGAACTTGCGGGCGTACCTATTTGTTGTATTTGCGAGGCGGCATGGTTTTCCACATGTGGTGACAAAACAGATACGTAGAAACGACAAATATAACGTGTGGTAAATGAAACAAGGCTTCTACAAAACGAACGTATTCAATGGAGATTGTACTGAATATGGTAATTGAATTCTACGTGGGCTATAGGACTCAGGCGGACTCTCTAGACTGGGTTGATAACTGACCTGATGCTAAGATAAGGAATGGTTGATCGTCTGCATATTGCTTCATCGGTTCCTGGTTTTCATTGGAATTACTTAAATTGAGCGAACAGAACTTTTGCCCACACTATCGCTTCGGAATATAGTGATCAAATTGATCATTAATGTAGACAGATGATTCGACACGAACTGTCAATACATTTAGTAATCGTTGTCTTCACATTTCTGACTATGGTATGTTGGCTGGTATTATTTTCATTGGTGTTTACATTGTTTATTCTTGACTCGCCATTCACCGTCATCCCCAATTTATCCATGTTTACACAGACAATTCGAATTTTATTTTTCGTTTTTTGCGGTATTAAGCAATTAGTAGAGCGCCGCATAGTACACCTTAGGAAAATTATTGTACGAAGGTTAGATTTAATGCTTGAAAAAATTGCAATTTTAGAATGCATTAAATCTATTTAATATAAAAATAACGCTAAAAAGAAAAGATAGACGTTTCGACTCCTTCATGGTGTCATTTTCAAGATCAAATGATGAAGTATAGAATATACAGTAACTATATCAATAGAAAAAAGCTAATCTACAATGTCAATGTTCATAATAGTGGGATATTAATCCCTGTGTTAGATAAAAAGCTTTGCATTAAATCTAACCTAAGTATAATAATTTTCCATATAGTGTACGATGCATTTGTTCTTGAGTCTTTAACGTGGTCTAGAATATTCCTATTAAACATTCAGTTTATTGTGTTTAGGAGGGTCCATTGATTTTGATTCATGAATTCCTTAATTGTTCATACTTAATACTGAATTTGAAGTAACTTTCTTCGGGTTCTACTGTAATTTTAACTAGTTTTTTACGAAAGTAATTTTCAATTACAATTCAATTTTTATCGTGTTGCACGATGTAGCGGCGGTGATAAAAAAATGAGGAATTTTTTTTTACACACGAACCTAAAAAAAATCAAGCCAAGCGTCCACTAATAGAAAAATTAGTGGACGCTGGGGAATAGGCAAATAACATTGGGAGTTACAGTGATGACATCACGATTGACTTATAATAACATTTATAATGTATTCATTTGTGCATTTTGTTGATAGTCAACTATAATTTGTAAGAAGCGGTAGGCGCATCGATTGTGGCTTGGACTCCCAACCTCGAGGTTGGGGGTTCGAAACTCTCGCTGTGCAAATCGCTTGTGTCCTTGGGCAAGGCACTTTATCTACAACGGTTACCTCTCTCCACCCAGGAGTACAAGTGGGTACCTGGTAGGTTCGAACACAACTGCGCTGATTACTAGCTGCAATATTATGGAATTCTCCCCAGGGAGCTGAGTATGTGTTCCATATGTGTTTGATCCAATGACCGGGGTAGTAATGTAAAGCGCTTAGAGGCATTGTGCATGAATTGCTATATAAGAGCAACATATTATTATATTATAATGCCCATATTAAATCATTTCATCATTAAATACAGTAAATCTAATACTCAATTCATATATAAAAAGATATAAATCTAGGTCGGGCAAAAATGTAGCTCACAACATACTGTATGGTTTTTTTTTTTAATGTCTTGTAATTGTCAAAACTGAATGTTGTAATTTCTTAAAAACAAGTAAATAAATGGAAGCAAATTTCTATCTGGTTAAGCCATGGAAATGGCTTATCCTGTGGTGGAAGGTACCAGATTGGCATACCAGCTGCCACCTGAGTTATGCACATACTGTACAGTACTGTACACAGGAGTGAATTTTTATTAATAAAATTTTGTTATTGGTCCACCTTTGCACACCCCTGCACCCCACCAATGGCAATCCTGGCTACGGCCCTGTGGTATACTGATTATATCCCATTGGTTTCCAATCAATGCAGCCTTGAGGAACCTAAATTTGATAAGTGCTGACTAATTAGGTCATTGCCATTAATGAGCAAGTGTTCAAGTACCATGAACTAGGATACATACTATAATAATAATCGTATTGTGCAACCTCATATACCTGCTCATTATGGCTATGATCTGACTGATGACTAATTTGTGAACTAATTCAATGGTTCCTAAAATTAACCTCGACATAGCATTATTTAAAGGTCATGTTTTTTTTACCATTATCAACAGTGGCAGATACAGGAATTCAAAATACTGTACAGTAGAAGGGGTGCAGGGAGAGACTTAAATGTGGTGTCCAAACCACCTCAGTCCACTAAAATTCTATAGCCCTTTGTCATCTCTAGATTGCCAAATATTGCACTCTCATACTTAGAACACCTCTGATCTATGATGAAAAAATATACATAATGCGATTATATAAAAAATTGTGTATTTTAAAATGAATTAAGGCTTTTGAGTAGCAGAATTAAAATAATCTTCAAAAATATCATCTCATACTCGCAAGTAACAATGTAAAATACAAGATACAAGTCAACTTTATTGTCAAAATAATAAATTCTGAGTTACTTGATGTACATAACATAGAATCGTTCATAAATGTGATAAATGTTAAATCAAAATTTCTTATAGTAAATAAAAATTTGAAGCTTGTGTTATTTAGCTTCTGAAATAAATCAAAAGCGATGTACTGTACAATGCTAAATGTCTGAAACGGTTTGTGGATATTTTGTGTTGTTAAGTCTAACCCTTCCCGATCTGTTAACGCTAATGTCTGAGTATATGGATGGGATGAGTCTTCCATAATTAAATTCAATTTCTTAAGTATAAAATTATTAAAAATATCTTTAAGGATTTCACATCGGCTCTAATCACTCTGCTGGCCATGTTAACAGTTCTCAATAAGTGACCTTTACTGTTTACGGTGATATGAGAAACCAAATACAGGTAATAATACAATAAGAAAGGATTGACTGGAAAACCGAGGAATAAACACAAATGAATAAGATGAGAGTTAACATTAAACCGTTTAATTCTATATACAAATTACATTCTTTTATTTACCTTGGTATGGAGTTCTTTGAGTGTTGCTTTCCCAATTTAGTTCATTATCAATTATCAATCCCAGGTACTTGTCTTTCAACAATTTCCACATTCTCATTATCGATTACAATATTTTACATGATTAGTTTTATTTTTCCTTCAGAAGTCAACAATAACTTCGGTCTTCTTGGCATTTAGTACAAGAAATTCTCCTACCATACAATAAAAGATTCAACATACAATAGTAATTAAACAAGGATGTGTCATTTTTTGAACTCAGACCAATTAGACAAACTTGCAAATAGTATTAAATGATTTACTTGGATCAATATTTACTGTAAAATGTTATTGGAGGAAAATATTGTGCATGTGATGGGTTTCCCAGGTAGTTGTTTACTCCCTTTCCACATGAACCTAGCCAACAATTTTGCATTATAATTATATAATAATGTTTAAGTTTAGTATTTGAAATGGAGAACCACAAAATAACATTTCTATCATTAGCTGCAATGTTGTGTTATAGTGTCGTGTTAATGTAGTTTTCTGATGTTGATGTTGTTCTGACATAACCTAAACCACAATGTTCATTTGTTGATCTGCCATTGTGTGTATCCACATGTTTATTATCATGATTACTTTCCGGTAAAATTACCTTTTTCCTGGGGAAGATCCCATGATATTTGAAGCTAGATTCATAATAACTCACAGTAGAAGTTTTGTTTTTCAGGTAATTTTCTGTTCTGGTCAGGCTTTTTCAAACAATGGACAATCAAATGAAGGTAAGACCCAGCCGCTTTTGTTGTTTAATGCACTACAAACCATTGCAATCAACTTGCTGTTTGTACGGTACATGAGCGCCTCTGTTACTTACAGTAGTCATAGTTACCAACCTGAGAGATTTGAAATGTGTGACTATACATCAGTTAGCTGGGGGACGGTGGGTCACCAGGGCTCCCGGGGGCCCCTAATGGGGTCCAGGTTTCAGTTACATAATTATCAACGGTTGGTTGTGACAATGCACGCACAAGACCGCATGTGCCTCCTAGATTCTACTAAGTGTGTGATTGGCTGAGTTGTTTTGGTCGAGAAAGAGAAATTTTCTCGGTGAATTTATTCTCGAACGAGATAACAAAAACCTTCTAATGACTCGTAGTTACGGTATGACCGTTTTTTGTATTTTAATGAAACCATTTCTTCTAATTTTTAATACATTTTCCCCTGAATATGTGATAATTCGCTATCACACATAGACTTGTGCTAAATGTGTGACAAATTTATGATCATGCATACGTGTGTTTCTGCAAAATGCGTGTTTCATCCAAAATCACTTTAAAATGCAGGACCGTCCTGCACGATGTGAGACGGATGGTAACTAGGCATAGTTACTGTACTACTGTATGTAGAAATGCAGACTATACTGTATAACAGGTTCATGGGAAGGGTGGTTTATGGAAATGGGAGTTTCCTATAGGCCAAGGTCAACTCAGAAATGTTTCTTCAATAAACAACGTTATGATCAAATCCTCCCTCCCTCCGTCGGAGAAAAAGCACAATTTGTCGGGAAGAAAAAAAAATTACAGTATATGTATTTTCTACATATTTAGTAGACTCTAAAATCGATTGAATAAGCCTTTGAAACCCCTAAATTGTAAAAATTTTCAGGGGCTTCGCCCCCTGGACCACTTTCGAGACCTTTTAATCGAAGCTCGACCATGCCCACTTTGCTTTCGTTGGGGAAATTTGCCCCCTCGTCGGGGGAATAGCTCGCCGTCGGGCACCTCGGCCCCCTGTTGGGCAAATCCTGGTGCCACTGCTGGCTATACACAGTAAATATTAGTTATTATTATTATTATTATTATTATTATTATTATTATTATTATTATTATTGTTATTATTATTATTATTATTTTGTTATTATTATTGAAACAGTGTACAGTAGTAATCGGACTGATAAATGCTTTTAAGTTTATATGATTAAACGAAGAAATATTATTTCTTAGTGGAAATATCCAGTAGGTATAAAACAAAGTTTTGTCTCATTAAAAAAAGGCGTCTGAATATAATTTTCACAAAGGCTTTGATTTATATTGTCATTGAACTTGCATTGCATAGGTGATGTGATTTGTTGCTTCACTAGTTAATTTTCACAATTTGTTAATATTTCCCCTCTTCACCTTTAAATTGAAAAGGAGGAAAGAATATTTGGTTACATTTTATTGTAGAGTTCAACTTTCACTTACTGAACATGGAAACTAAGCTGTAGACGAGACAATATTCATATAATCCAATTTAAATCTGATTTATGATAAGACGATGAACTTGGATAACATTAATTCTTGTTACAAGTGTGTTAAAATGAAAAGATATAGTACCTTTAATATATACGGTATTTACAATTTCTCTTAAAATTTATTAAAAAAATTAAAAATAGGTATAATATTCATTTGAATGGAAAGCATGTCTAAAATATATATAAATATACAATACTGTAGTAGCTTATTTCAACCTACAGTAACCAACTGAATTACATTCTTAAAAGACTGTGTAAGGTAATGGGTGTTGGGCAGACACGTGTGTTTTACACCACAATTTTAAATTTACCTTAAAGAAGATTTCAAACTCATAAAATATAGCAACTTTCTTTTCAAGCAAAAAACTACCTGTAATGTTGGGATACAAAAACCACTACTATTATAATTTTCAAACCATATGAAAATTAAAGAACTTTTTAAAATGGATCATTGAAAATTTATGGAGTTAGATGTTAAAGGTGCATGTACCCAGCTTCAGATCATGTATCCTAAGATTTTCTTTTGTTTTAATAATTATGTGATTTATTGAACACTTACAGATCTCCCTCGTGAACAATACGAACATATCAGACCTTATCGTTCGTCGTCAAGTGGCGATTTTATTTCCTATGACTTGTCTACTGAGAAGGAAGAAAAATACAGGGAATATTTGAAGTACATGCAGCAGCTTTCTGAGTTTGACATTCCAGCAAGTATTCCAAAGGATATCACATCAACAATATTTTACACATTTTATGCTTTTGGTAAGCAATTTCTGTTAAATATAACGCTAAGCCAGCACCTGGTGGCGCCAAACACCTCAATTGAGAAACACCTTGATAATGGAACTGTCTCAACAAACCTAGTGCAAAAAAACTGTTTTTACCAAGGAACGGTGAATGATTCAAATGATTCTATTGTCTCCATCAATAATTGTAATGTAGGTTTGGTAAGTATTTTACTTATTTACTTTGGATTATAGAGATATGTGGTACTTGTGTAAATTGCAGAAAGCGATTTTAAGCTGTGTCCAGATTATCAAATTTTCTTATGGTAAAAAAAGATACCTATATGTGGTCATGATTTGAGTTCCTCACATTGACCATATTTAGACATGTTTTTGTCAGATAATATTTGATAGTGTGTACAGAGCATTAGAAATAACATGAGATGTACTCGCATAAGATTTTGTTGCAATGATTGATGCGGCTTCATCATGTGTAGTCGTCACCGCACCTGATGAAGCCTCCATCTATTTTGTCAAATTTAGTTTAAATTTTCTATTTTTCTTCTAATGCTGATTTTACATGGTTTTCTATTTCAGTTGCTTTTTATCAGGGTTTCAGCTGGCCAAAAAATGTATTGAGCAATTTGGCTAATTCGGTATAACAATAATTAGCCAAATAGAATTTTGATTAGCCAAAACAAAAGAATAAGCAATGATACCTTCAATTCCATAGCTTTTTGGCTAACTTTGAATGAAAATATTTGGCAAAATTCAGCTTTTACAATATTATAATAGGTATAATTAAAATATAATAATGTGTAAATAGTCAAAGATACAGTCAAACTAAAATCTAAAGTGCCACTGAAATATAGTTCGACTTAGATTAAATTCGACTGTAGCAAAGTCAAATTTTATTCGAGTTATATCACAATAGCAACATGACTTGGAGAGTTAGCCCTTTACAGAGACCCGAACAAATTAACATGCACTGACGGTACACGCACAATGTTGACCGCACATTTGGCCTAGGCCTAGAACTGTAGTAGTAAAGGCCAGGCTACCTAAACTTACCTTGAAAGCAGTATTCTTCATTAATTCTTCAATTATTACAGTATATTTAAACATTTTGTTAACTGCTTTTAGGCCATTCTTTTAAATACATTATAAAGAGGAATTAGTCAATACTTAAATTAAAGCTTAATCATATTATATTTGATAAAATACCGTAACAATAATAATAACCTATTTTTGCATGGCCATCAAGCAAACATGTTTTAAATACGATAAATTCGGTTGGAAAATCCCAAAGACCAAAGCAATACTTACTAGGTGAAAGTCTTTAAGATAACAAATTTTTTTATATGACGGGTTAGGCGTGATCTACAAATTATCCCCAACGACAGAAACGGGTCAAACACGTTTACTATTGTTATATGACAAGCTCCCAAACGCGTCTGTGAAATGCCGTTTGGAAGCTTGTCGTTCGAGCCGTTTATTCCGTTTGGAAGTTAACTCCTCCCCTTTTCATATGGCTGACTGCTCGTGAATGGCAAAATGTTACAAGCGTTCAGCGAAATTTGGAATTTGATCGTGATTTAAACAACTTCAAAACTTGTTCAGTGTCCCTACCGTACCTAGGCTATGTAAGCCTAGGCCTATATTTATAATAGTAGTAACCTGGTAGTAAAATGCTAGCCTACGCCAGGTGACAGTTCACGAAGAAATGTTTATAATAAAGGCCTAAATTTGAATTATTTTTCTTGTTGGGGAAACCCCAATGTTTCTTGTATTTTAGTAGGCTAGGCCCTACCGTTACCTGTAGGTTTTATAGAAGAGAAAGCAATCGCCAGTAACCTTGCTACCCAGATTATATTGCGATGTTCGAATTGACCTATCAAAACAAGTACCTTTTGCCCAACTTCCTAATTCCCACGTGCCTGCACAGCCCGCACAATACAGCATGTAAACACTGACCTGGATCAGCCGCAGTTGAAGAAGTTCGTTGTGGCGATCACGCGATATCGCACGTAGAACAACGTATGCTACGGCATTGTGTTTTACTTTGTAGGCTATATGAATTTAATACATGTTTTTATTATTATATATATTATTATGTTTTAAAAATGGTTAAACCATGGCACATGTTTATATTGCTGAACAAGGCAGTCGGCTATTCCCTTCTTGCGGAGGAGCAGCGCGTTTACATTCCTGAAGGCGGCGTTCAAAGAATCAGATCAGACACTAGAGCGTCTACATTCCAGAGTTCGCGGCGTTTAAAGAGAAGACTACTGTATGTGATTGACCTTGTGTCTGCTTCTCTCATGCTTCTCATGATCGTGGGAACCTACTTGTGTGGGAACGTTTCTCACTGAATTCACTGTTACTAGGCAATTTGCAGTAATGCAAACTGGTGGTATATGCCTATTTCAAACAGTTTATTTCCGTTTATGACAAAGTAAAATATCGATACGAAACAAAGTGAATTGATTTTATTTCTGAACGGGACCGGTAGCGGCAGGATTTGGCAGATGGGGATACGATGACTCCGACAAAAAATCACGAGGCAAATATTAAAACAGTGTAAATATTTATTTCATTTCCTTCAACTTAACTTATTTACCGGGATGGTGTCCGGCGGGGGATAGTTTTTACTATCATAGTTTAACTTTTATCTATTAGAATCTAGCCCCGAATCCTAGACTCATGTATTTAAAGCGGTCTGTAGCATGTGTATACAGCATATATTTGTATTTTTTGTCGATTGATAAATAAATGTCCGAATATAAGAATTGAATACTGTTTTCTGTACACTACATGTTTGTTTGGGTCAGTTAAGAATTAGTACCTAATTAGGCCTATTAATGAAATACAACGGTACACGAACATTCACTTGTATGTTTTATTTATATTTTGACATTAACATAGACCTTTAACACTCAATATTATTTTTATTTAACATAAGCCAATAAACAGCTTCCACACATAAAATAACAGTAGGCCTAACCAATAAAAATATATAAAATACAAAACAAGATTTATGCAAGATTAAAAAAAACTATACAGAAGTCTCCGCCCGGCAAGCATACAAGGCCATACTTTAAACTGGCATCCAGGCACTCCATCAAACGTCCTATTGTTAGCAACTCAACTGACCCACTTCTGTCAGAGCGGCACTCAATGCGAATTTCTGTAGACCAAGGAGGAAAGTTCTTTCCTCCATGTGTAGATCAACACCGGCCACACAGTCAGTGACATTTGTCACGTGATGTTGCGTACTCTGCTGGACTGATCACATCCACACACACGAGGTACTCAATATTAATTGTACAGTAGTTGCATAGGCCTAGTTGCTGTATATAATATATATTGATGCCTACGTTTAATAATAGAGAAAATAGATGTTCTATTTTCTCAGACTATAGTTTATTGAATGATGTTTGGCGAATACTGGCGTCCATTTGTGTTCCCATGTGATATGTGTGCAGGGAGTTGATAAATGTTTTTTCGTTCGTCGTCAGCTTCTTAGCTGGTAGGCTGCTATTTAACGAAGATAGGTCTTTCCGACAGAGCAAACGGCAATTAGGCCTACATGCATGTGCTGCCATTATCGTCATTACCACTTAATTTACCTATTAGGACTATGCAGCCTTTAAACTTTGAACTTGGTTCATTTCAAAGTAAAACTTGTTCAGTATTTTAAATTGTACAAAAATGGTAGTTCAACTGGGGTCTGGTCTAACGACACAGACGCGTTTGTCGCCCAAAACAATAGAAACAATGGCAAACGCGTTCAACAGCACAAACCCGTTTAGACGCGTCTGGGACATATTCCGACTAGCTTATTAATATTCATGAGGCAAGATAATTAGACGATCGCTTTCCCAGACGCGTTTGTAATACATGGTTTTCCCAGACGCGTTTCTGTCGTTGGGGATAATTTGTAGATCGCGCCTTATTCCCTATACCTAAATTCCATCAGACATTTATTTTACAATTACTGTACGTATCTTACAATACAGTTTAATTTAAACTGTATTTAAAAAAAGAACTAACAAAACCTGAAACAGTGCTTAAACATTAGTCGCTTGTCTACGTTACCACATGTCTGAACAATAGTGAGGAATGTATTAAGTTGAGTCGCATGTAAAGTAAACTACACAAAGTAGCGCTATGCAATGTAAACATGAGTCACTTGTCAGGCTTACTCAGCGTGTCAAGATTTTGACTTCGACTTACGGACTAACAATTAATTGAAAACAGATCAATTTGGCATGTAAAATATGTTCGACTTGCATTTTTATTAGACTTAAATTTAATCGAGTTTGAGCATATGTAAACAGGGGTTTCCCTTAAGGTTTTTTTTAACTAGCCAAGTGGACCAGTAAATTAATATTTTTACTGGTCCTCAATCCCTTTCACTAGCCACTATCTTGCCAACTTCGGAAGGCCCAAATACCATATTTTTGACATTCTAATCATGCTTCCCCCCACCCCACCGATGAAGTAACACTGACAGATACAGAAAAATCTTTCTGTTGTCTGTATGGGAAATTATGCCGCGAAATATAAATACAGGAATCTATTTGTATGTACAGTGCACTCTCACAATACGATGTTCGCTACGATGTTCGGTTTTCCGGAAAGATCGGTTTGTGGAACATTTCTATTGAATCCTTTC